TTTGAGAAGGTACAATCCGGATTGCCTGTACCCTAAGGGCTTATAAAGACCCCTAGTATTACATATAGTCCCATGCGGCTTGAAATACTAGTAGAATATATAACACATTCACCCACAGTCAGTAGATGACCAAGAAAAGAAAAATAAATGGGAAAGCTCTAGCCAGTCATGATATTGGTTGGCAGATCCAGGACCTCAGCCCACAGCAGAGAAACTGTTAGCTTGTATTAACTTCTAGAAGGAAATTACCAGATGCTGATTTATAGGTAAATATGGGATCCAGTTATCAAGAAGAGATGGGATGAATTTTTCAAAATGCACTACTGATCTTCTCAATATTTAATGAATTTAAAGAACAGGTTTAAAGGTAGTTTGAGGATGCTTGATTTAAAGAGAATAAGCACTTAGTCCTTCTAAGAGCATTTGCAGAGTCCCAAGTATTTTTGAATAACTTGCTCCATCAATTTAATATTAATGTCAAGATGGAGGTGGTACAGAGATCAAATAGTGAAACAAAAAAATTACAAAGAATGAATAAGCAATTAAAGTAAGTGTATTTTTTATTATATACATCCTGGATTTAAAACCCGAATTTGAATTTTTCTTTTGATTTTATTATTTATAGTGGTTTTTAAACTGTAAAGAAATTCTATTGATATAGATGGGCTTATTCCATTAAAAAGAAAACAATTATACAATACAAAATGTCATAATCTGAAAAACATCTAAAACCAAAAAACATAATCTAAAAATACAACTCAGTTTGAAAATCAAAAGTTTAAAGTACAGATGCGAAGTATGATGTTCCCCAATACTGTTATATTTTGTTTTTAAAACTTCTGAAATATTTTTAAAGTTTTAATCTTTCATCAGGCTTTCAACATAAATATTGAGCCACTAAATAAAATTTGAGTTCAGATAAATTATAATACATAATAAATTCAGTACTAAAACTTCGAAGACATTATTTATTTCTGGTCAAATTACTGTTAAGTGGTTTTGTTAAAGACTATGCTTCCCAAAAATTAAAAGAACTTCACATATAGTCTATTATGTAAACAGGTAATGTCACTTAGTCATCATACTAGTTATGGGGTAAGCTAGAATGGTTTCACAGCATAACAATTTGGGTCCAAAAAGTTGTTGTTCTCTTTCAAACAAAAACCTCTGGTTTGAGAGAACAGTGCCAAAGACATTGCTGTATTTATAATTTAGTAACTATACTAAACGTGAAGTTCGGTCCAACTTTGTTGGCAGTTGCTAGTATCACATGATAGAAACTATTCAATCAGTGTTTGGCCAAGAACAATTTTACTCTAACAAACCTGAGATAACCTTGGTTTAACTTAAAAATACCACTGATGATATTCAGTTGTGTAGGATGATAAAGACGTAGTCAGCTTTTTTATGTTCTATTTCTGTCTTGGGTTGACTCCCAAGGTAAATTGTGGATGATTTCAAACCAACAAAATAACATACTGCTCAAAACACAGGCTTAACTAATCTTTTTCCACTTCTGATATTGCTGTTATAATACAATTTATTATAATGTAATTCATTAAAGTAGTGCAGAAGCTGAAGCCTGGTGTTGGTAATCAAAAGTAGTTTCATTTCATAATGGCAGAAATGAAAATCTTTAGGCTCTTCTTCTTAGAGTATGTTATTTTGAACACATGCTATTTTTGGACACTGCAGAAAAATGCAAATTCATAATGTTCTAATTTGGCCAGAAATATGAACCCCAACAGATTTAACCACATGATCATGCTACCAGCTTCTAAGATGCCAAGTAGAAGAAAACATAGAGGTCTCTGTTTCTTGTGAAGAATGATGAACAAAGAGAACTTTTGATGTTTATTCTTCTGCAACCTAAAGAAAGAGTACTGTCCAAAATAGAGCTATTGCGGAATGATGCAACTAAGGATTCAACCTTATAGTGACCTTTTCATCTTCTTTCAGCCCTGTATCAAATTCTTCCTACTGCTCTGCATTGAGGAGGCTTAGAAAACACTTCTTTAATGGTGTTTAAAGCTCTTATTGCCAGATAAAGAACAAAGACTGTTCATGCGATTAAATATTTATGATGCATTCCTAGCAATGCCCCTCATATATATGCCCCTCAAATCAATTGCCTACTCCAAAGCTGCATTGCTTGAGAGCTTAATGCATAACACTGCGTGGAGGAAATACAAATTCTTAATTTGTGAGTAAATAAGCAAGCTATCCCTCTTCCTATGTTTATGTATGCTTTTAATATTTTTCCAAGAAAAAATGTGTTTAGAAAGAATATAAATTTTCAGCTGGCATATTGATATACAGATGTTATTAAGCACAAGGATTATTAAGCCAGATGCATGTGTAGACCAACTTCTATTTCAGTATGTGCCCCTTCTAAAAGAAAACATTACCTTCTTTACTAATTGCTTTCTAGTGTCTTTTTAAAGGAACAGGGAAACCAGTAACGAGGCAATGATAATTCTTAATGAACCAGGAGAGGGAGCCCCTTAACAGGGCAAACAGTTTCCAACCCAAGTCCCTCCGTTGCCGTTCCTGAAGTTTCAACCATGTACGAGGTTAAAAGGAGATGAAATGCGAACATCGCCAGAATCAATCTTTCTTTAGCTGTGTTTCACAGGCTAACAAAAGGTAATTAACAAAACTATAATTTTCTATCATGCTTTCTTTTTTCGAGAACAAAGGAGACTAATAGCTAAGTTCCTGTGGTCTGCCTTCCCTACTCCTAAATTAATACAAAATGACCCCTCAAAGCATCAGCATGCTTTTTAAGTGCCTTTCTGACACAATGCTGTGCAGTTTCAATTTTACTGAAAATGCATCACACAAACATCTGTGACTCATCCATGCATGAAGATAAAAGGAGGGGTGGTCTAATGCGAGCTGAGAAGAGCCAAGAAAGAAAAGATCACTATATCCAGAATTTCTTTATAAATAATTTTATGAGACAATGTCAGAATCGGCATATATATCAGGCTTGGTTTACAGTGCAAAAAATGGATCTTCCAACTATTTTTCCATGCAGCTCTTTCTGAAAGGAGTTAACCCAGTAAAATTGGATGTTGTCCATGTTTTACCACTCAGCTTATTTTCTTTGAACATGTGTTTACTTCTCAAACTGAAACAGTAATCTTGCCATTGTCTTTTGTAATCTGTATTTGTAATAATGCAACATTGCTGACATTGCTAACAAACCACTGCGTTTACTGAGCAAAGGGGACTACTCCGACAACATTGCTTTGATAACACAGACCTTAGCAAGTACAGTTCTCATTAATTCTGTGGGAGCAGGACTAAAAGGGTTAATCTTTTTTCTTTGCATGGGTATTTTGAAAATCCTTTCCCTGTTGTGTACCAAAGCACTTAAGCAAATACATAAAACTAAGCTTAAGTTAATTACTGATTATTTAAGTAAATGCTAACAGATTTTGCTGAGTAGCAATGGTCTTAGAGCAGGGGCTTGAAATCAAATCTGTGCTCAGTAGACTGAAGTCTAATGAGCAAATCAATATTGAAATCTTTACTCAAACTTAAATCATAAAATGAAAACCCCAATTCCACTAAAGTCAATAGAAAAACTCCCTGTGACTTCAAAAGAATTAGAGTTTCTGACACTGGCCTCAGCAGCAGTTTTGCCTGAACAGGGCTATGCAATGCATCCAAAACTTTTTCTACAGAAAAGCTAATATGAAGGAAAACATGTTTGTACCTGTGGAATTTGTTGAGGTGAAAGATTTTTTGACCCTGCTGAAAACAACCTCTTCCTACTAACAGAAGAAGCACAAATATCAACTCCTCACCCTTCAGCTGGGGGAAATAAACCAATGCTGATCACTTTCTAATATCCCACCTCCAATATGGAGCTATTTTAGGACTCAGCCTTTGAAGGAAACCCTTTGTTCACTTAGAAAAATAAATATAAATTCTTTTCTCTTTACCTGCACTGGTGCCTGCACCGGTTGTGAGGTCCCCACCCATCAGGCCACCTAGGGGGTTGAAATGAAATACTAAAAATGAGGCAATAAATTATAACAGGCAAACATTCAAAACATTTTCTCTAACTTCAAACAGGCTGCTTCACTACCCACCACTGTTTTCCTCTGACTTCAACAGCCATCGGATCAGACCCATAGTCATAAAATTGCAATGTTTAATGTTACCCATATAAGACACTTGCCTTTCAAGGACAAACAAGACAGGTAGTAGACAAGATTTTATTATTTTATTTTCATACTTCCACAGCATAGGAAAAAAATCAATTATATTTGAAAGTTATGTATAGTGGAACTTCATTTGAAAACCATCTTTAGTTCGGTATTAGTCAGAAAAGCAGAGGCTTCCACATAGGGTTGGGAGGAAAAGATTGAAAATGTCTGGACGAGAATGTAACTCAGAAGCTATAATACTTTTTTACATAGCTTTTAATTTTAATTTCCTCAGCCTTTCAGAGACATTCACTCTAAGGATTTTTAAAACTTCTTTTTGCACTTGGGGACCTCAAATGGTTCTGTTAACCTGGTATGCTTAAGGCTCTAGATGCTGCTTCAGCCAGACAGATTGAATGAACTTAATCTCCATTTACCCTGTTCAGAAGTGAGCCCTCACCATCACTGGAGTAAAACACAGCCTCTTGCTATACAAGGCACTCAGGTACAGAGTTCAACTAACATTTACCCATCAAGGAACTTGTGAATGCATAAATAATAACCAATTCTGCATTCAGCTTCTAGACTGATGATTTCAGTAATGAGTGTCCTTTTTTACTTGCTTCAACTTGTTTGCGTTGGCTACATTTTCTCCCCCGCCCTCTTAAGCTTTATGGTATAGTGAGTTCTTGCATGAATTAAGCAGACAAGCTGCCTTTTTATGAAACAGCAAATTGTCTGCCCTTTTATCCTTTATTGATTTCCTTTAATCTTAGTCAATATTCAGCTTTTTCTAGAACTGTGGGTTTTCTTTTCTTTTTTTTTTTTTTTTTTTAATTTTCTAAAATGGGAATAGAAACCCCTTTGGCTCTTCTTTTGATTTTTCAGCACAGTAAATTTAGACGAACCGTTACGACTGGTAAAAGCAAGTTCTTGCTTCTCAGAGTAAATTTTAAAGTGACCTAAGGCACATGAGCAGCTGATAAAAGAGCATTTAAAGGGATGGGATTGAACAGAGCCTACCTGTGTTACCTGCACTCGGAGGCCGATGTGTCACTCCAGGAGACATGCTATTTCTTTGCAAAGAAGGATGAGCCAGCGGCAAAAGGTTGGGGTTTCCCAGCGAGCTGACTGGGTTACTGTATACCAAACTGTTGTGGTTGGACACTGGGATGGAAACTGGCATCTCAAAGTTTGGTGGTGGAACAGCCTGTACAAGCAAAAAAGGGAAACAAAGACGAGAATAGTACAGAAGCACAACAGCCTTCAAGTACAGTTACTCTATATTTAGTGCAAATATTTTGTAGTTGGTGGTTAAAATATTTACGCTCGCCCCCCTCCCCTATAGTCAAGAGAAGAGTTTCAAAAGAGTTACCAAAGCTTTTAAGTATGATTTTTCAAAGCATGATTCCATCTTCCTTTAATGCAGCTGCACACTTACTTTTTAAGGACTGCAAAGATTTTTTTTTAATTTGAAACAAAACTGTGCTTTATGAAGCTTAATTTTCTTTCTCTTTCATTCCGTGAAGTCATAATTGTTCGCTTGTGATATCTTAATCTAGTGTCACAGATGACTGCAAGATCAAAGATACATGATTATGATGACTTCACTGCACCGAAAAAAATTAGAAGGGGTGGAATGCAAAAGGGAAAGCTCTAATTTCAGCTTATGTTGCTTTAGCAACCAAAATGATCCCAAATCACGTTAAAGGCATCAACACAGTAAATTACTTTTAAAAAAGTTTTTATCTTATCTTGGCAGGGCTTAAAAGAAACAAAGTTTTACCCAGACACAGGTAGCAAATACAGGTAGTAAATACACACCAGTCTCCTTGTCTTTGTGGGTTTTTTTTTGGTTTTGTTTTTTTTTTTTTGGGGTGGTGGTGGTGTTTGGTGACACCTTTTCAATATATTGTTTTCATACTTTAAGGCAGGATCTTCCCCTGAACCACTTTCCTTTGCAAGAATCCCTTTCAAAAAAGAATCAAATTATGGACCACTCTGACAGAGGGTGTGAGGAGATGCAGTACCTGATTCTCATTATGCTCTTAGAAAGGCCAACTCAGATTTTCTTGGTTGGTTGCTGGGTTTTTTGGTTGGTGTTTTCCTGGGTGGCAGTTGCCTGAATTTCTTTAAAATTTATGACTCTCATCCAACACATCAGAACTCCGTACGTAATCTACTTGTTTTTAAAATAATTAATTTTTTGCCTTTGTGAATGGAAAGAAAACTTTTTCAGAATTACCTGACAGCATTTTAAATATGCAAATACCCGAATGCAAAAGAAGTACCCGTCGATTTACCATTTAAAAATCTTATAAGCTTCAGGAGTCTAAACCCATCAAAAATTCTTCAAGCCAGCTTCATAACATCTTCAGTGGGAGGAAAGCACAGATTTTAATTTTGTTTTTGGCAGCTGATAGTACTGGTAAGCCTTCAAGGACCTAGATGGGAGTATGTTGAGAGCTGGACACATAATCTGCTGTGTCAGGCAACAGAGGCACCCTGACCTTGTGCCACCCACACATATCTTCTCTGCCTGGCCAGAGCTGTTGGCTGTGCCCTGCATATTACAGCGCTGGCCATCAAATGACGGTTATCTCGCAATTATTTTTTTTTTGTCCTCTCCCCTTTCTAGAGGCAGATATAATTTTGCTCTAAATATAGATGAATCATTTTGCTTAACCCCTGAAACACTCAACAAAATTTTAGTTCAGGGTGTGATGTGAAGGATACATTACACAAATCCCTCAGGACTTATTTCAAGGTCTTTATTTGGCTCTGAAACCCTCTACATCACCTGTGGCCTGGTTTTGTGAGAGATGGCCATAGCATAAGAGCTGAGATCAGGCAGGGCACTTGAGTGGATGGACCTGCTGGAATTGCTCCCCAGCTGGTGGGGCTGCATGTTGTGACTTGTTTCCCTTTGCTCCAAGGGCCATATTTTCCATAGAGTTAACTGGTTTAAGTAGAGGTGAGAAGGGGAGAAGAGGAGTCTGGTGAATCAACATGTTCAGTGTGTAAAGAGCAAAACTAGACATGCTGCTACGTCTGTGTAGGGATCCTGAAGCATACTAATGTTTATGTCTCACAAACAGAAAAATAGAGAATAAATGATTATGTGACGAAAAATGTAATTACTAAAGTGTGTTTCCTATTTTTTTCAGGAGCAACAGTTTTTTGCCTTCAGACATTCTTATGGTTGAAGTCCAGCTCGCTAGCAGCATGTGTGACTTGTCTTTCAAAGGAAAATTTGCAAAGAACATAACACGGGGAGTACCAGTGTATGACATGACTGAGGCCTAGGCTCCTCAGGAATTGATTCACATGATCTGAAATATTCTACCAGCCTCAATGTATGTTTTGAAGCAAGACATTCTCTTCACTGGCCACAGAAAGACCCAAGATGTTCCCAAATCCCATGAAAGTCAGAAGTGCATGGCTGGTCCTGAAGCTCAAAGTCAGCTACTGCTGCTGGTTTCTGCTTTTTCAAAAGATTTTAGCCAGTGAATTCACATGAGAATAGATGTCTTAGCTCCACCTCCAGCTGGATGTGAGACATGAATAAGCCAATATGGAGTCTCTTGCTATTGCAATGTTCAGGGCTGTGTTGGAGATCACTCTGCCTGGTGGCTTTGAGCACAGGATCCTGCCTGCTTGAGTGCCAGCCGAAGTCAGATTGAGTGTCACCCATTGGGAGCAATTTGCACAATGTCTTATTCACCTGTCATGAGATCTGTGAAATCTGCCCTCTGAGCCTCAATAGACACCAATATTTCATCTGTTTTCTTAACTTCTTTTGCTAATCCAAATTTCTGTTGATTTATCTAAACTAAAACACAGGTCCAAATGCAAATCTGAAGGTTTTGCCAATCCTAAACAGGCTTGTCTGCTTTCATCATTATGCTCTGTCTTCCTTCCATGTACAAACCAAATCTTTCAAGGGCTGTAATCTTCTTTTTCTATGTTAGTACAGCAGAAAAGAGCTCCAGTCTTGGTTGCTGTTGTGGCTGCCAGTCTCACTAGTCATGACTGAAACATTGCTGAAACAGTTACTTAGCTTTCGTTTTGTCATTTTAAAATTTTTTTTTTAAGCTAGTTAAATTATTTTCTTATTTCTGTAGTAGTGGTTTCGTTTTCACCATTTTACCTACTGTCTGAATATACTTACATCTATTTACGGAGTATAGGCAATTTTTAGCAGGACAAAGTCAGTTTACTCTCTGTTTTGCAGCACAGTACACACTATACATGGAATATAGTAGCTTTTATTTCTTGTCCTTAGTAGTCAAAGGTTAGAGAGAGAAGTTTGTCTGGATAAGGAGCAGTTTTAAACAGTAAGTCTCTAGCTACAGTTTTGCTCCAGTTCCCTAACTTTTGTTACAGTCTCGTATGTCCTTCACCAAGAACTGCAGTCTCCTGCAGATTCCTTGTCGTTCTTGGTGGTAAGTCATGGGGTGTATCTATTCCAGCTAGGCCTGATGGACATTAAGGCTTATGATGCACTTGCGCAATATCTATATTAGTAAATGAAGCTTGCCTAGGAGCTGCAGCCATCTGAGGCCACAGAGCAGTCCATGTCCATACTATTAAGCTTTCTCAACCTCAAAAACATCATGACTACACATAAACTGACAATTGGGAATTGTTCCTGGCCTGGGCTAACAACCAAACAGAGCTATGAGATTGTCTGAAAAAGCGTTATTTGGCCAGTGCCAAAAGCGTGCCAGGGGCTACTCAAACAATTCATGGCAGAGATAAGCACTTCACACTACCTTGGTATGCTCTTTGCCCTTTGCTAATTTACTAACATAGATGAACCCTCACTCTAATGTATGTAGCGTGCCATATTTTGTTTTTTTTTTTTTCCTTTTTTATTTTCTCTGTCTTTTTCTCCTTTGGACACAACTGTCAAAGAGGGCAGATGGCTCACCTGAGAGGACACTGCCAGTGTACAGCACACACTGTGTTAAATGTATGCTCCACAAGCTGTGGTATGTTGTGCAAAGCAAAGTGTTGGGGACTCAAAACCCTTGGAAATTAATGGACCAAACAGTTTGTGTTAAACATTGCTTTTACCCCTCCCATGTTCAACCAGGCCTTCATTTATGTAGAGACAGAGATACTTATAGCTCCCTTCTAGTGAACTATTTCTGTCTCTTCTGCTTTCATCACTCTTATGAAAACTACAAATAAACGTCTAATTATTATCAGATGTTTTAGAACAATATAAATACTTATCCCCAGAAAATTATCTGAGGAAACATTATTGGCCTTAGCTGTTAGGAGCAAAAGCCAATTTAGTTTTCATTTGGCAGCAGCTTTATTCTGTTACAAGACAAGGCACAGCATTGCATTGTTTTATATATTTTGTGAGTAGTGATTTAATGAGTTGACTTGGTGACTTTTTGTTCAGTTTTGCTTTCTTCCCCCCAGCTTTCTTGGCTATCTTTGATGATCACATGTAAATGAATATTAACTTCCCTGACTTCCCTGAAGTTATACTGATTTGTACAGTTAAGGATATTATTGTATACAATATAATATGTATATATAAAAACATATTTACAAATTTCCATCATGTACTAGCTCAAAGCTCCATCTTGCCTATTCCATTTTGGCTTATGCCAAGAGAAGGAGCTCCTGTTGCATTAGGGAAGAACATCTACCAATTGTTCCTTTTGTGGTAAGCAGCTTGATGGAGCACACAGACCTTGAGCTCTGCGTGAGAAATATTCAAAGAAGGGATATCCTGTCTTACATGAAAAGAAACACTAAAGTTTTGCAGTTCTGTATCTCTGAAGCATCTCTGAAGCAATTTCACAAAAAGATAGTACACTGTACCTTGTAATAGCCCTGCAAGGTAGGAAGTTACATCATACCCAAAATACAGCTCAGGAAACCAAGTTAATCACTAAGTTAATAGCTGAAGTAGGACTATATTTGACATCAAAAGGTTGTTTTCAATGAAAGCAACCAAAGTGAAAGTCTGTTACTTTTTGGGAGGACAAAATTGATGTACCATATTTAGATTAACTGTATTGTTTCGAATTCCTAGGGCTTTTCTAGTTTTATAGAAAAGACGATTTTTCCAAATGCTTGTGGTGGTAAAGAAAGTGATTCCACAACAGTGAGTTTTCCAAGCTCTTCTTTTCATGTCTTAAGACTTCAAACAGTTATCACATGTGCTGCTTTTTCGGAACAAAAACAGGTAGCGTGAGAGAAACAGATGATCTGAAGGACCATCCCAAAACCAATTTATAATGTGGAAAAGTAGCTTGGTTAAACACTGTGTGATTAAAGTTCCATCATTTTGATTTGAACAAGCCAAAGGTGATCCTTGAAAGAGGAAAGGAATGGCAATTGGTAAGTCTTTTATGTGAAAAAGGGTTAAGCTTTCTAGGTTATAACAGTCACCCTAAATGTTGCAGTCATCATTTGTCAAACTGAGTTCTATCCTGAGAAATCAAATTCATGGTTACAGCTTTAGAGCTTTCTTTTCTGAGAAAAACATCTGTGCAAAAGAAGCAAATAAAAAGGGAGATAAAAAAAGATGGAATATATATGTATTGCTTCCTGATATTTTATATACCTGTTGGCCATTCTTAACCAGCCATTCCAAATACTAATTTATGAAATTTGATGCCATTCTGGTCTCTGGAAAAAATCTTTATTATTTATTTATTTATTTTTTTTTTAAATTTTGCGAAAATAAACTTTGCCATGATGTGAGAATTTCAAATTTTAATTAACTTGAGTGAAAATCTTTCTGCTGAGAGTTAATGGAAAGAACACTTACACTGCATGAGACAGAATCTGAGCATCCTTAAGAGATATCCTCGGCTTAGGTATCAGATTTTGTACGTACAATTAACTAGAACTACAGAAGAGACTTTGCTCATTCTGGGTATACAGACATCCTTTTTGGCAGCTACTCATACAACTTGCATGTGGGAATGCGGAATGAACCCATCCAAATGATCTCTTTTAGAAGCAAGTAGTTACCTATGCAAATTCAGACAGTTCTTTGGACCTGGGCAAATCTTTGGTTTGCTACTTTCTCTTCCACACATATTTGGAAGAAAGGCTAAACATAACCTCCAAACCGCCACATTCTTTTTGTCGGCTTTATAAATGTAATAGTAAACATAATGACAAAGTATTCTCCCCTTGTATGTCTTGTGCAAACCAAATAGCACATGCAGAGTTATTTCTCTTACATATCTGGCAAGGCATATGACTGACGGTTAGAAATTTTGACTTGGTTAAAAAAAATTTAGCTCATGTTAAAGCATTAAAGAACTGCTGATGAAGTTAAAGCAAATTCTCTGATAAAGCTGTAAAATCACCCCAACACACAAACATGTCTGAATCCTACCATTAGGCTCTCATGCAGCCTGTTTATCTGCAGCGAGCAAGTAGCTGTAACCCTTCAGTGCTGCAAATGAGTTTAGCAGAGACACTTGAGAACTGAAGTGACACTCACAGAATGCACTAATTACTATATATAAAGGAATTTCAGTTCTACATCAGTTTTTCTATATCACCACAGAAAGTGTTCTGTGGGTTTGTTAGCCTGTCCATAAAGAAAGATTTCCATCATTATTTTTTAGATATAATTTGGGCGAGTGGTGTGGTAAAACAGTTCTGTAAATCAAGTGAATAAAATGGATATATGTATATTTCACTTCCTTCTGTAGGTTTCACCTATAGTAGGCGGCTTTGTCTGTGTCAGAAGTAGAGACTTGGAAGAAAAATATGTTGTGTGAAATTTTCTGACCACGATGTTTACATATAGGGCCATTAAAGCCTGTTTCCAGCTGAAATGTTCTCCTTAAGAAGCCAGAACTGAAAGGGTTATGGTTTGTTACTGCAGCAGTTATCAGCAGACAGCCATCTAACCTTTGGTACTTACAGGTATTTTATGGCTCTTGATCATATTATCAAACTCTTCATTAATTTTTTTGTATTTTTCTTCAGTGCGTGGGGTGAGAGCGTAAGAGGAGTCAGGATCGGGGCTTTCACAACCTTTGTTTTCTTTCTTGTTCAATGCCTGCCAGGTTCAGAGAAATATCAAAAAGTAAAAAAAATGAAAGAGAGCTCAGAGTACTTACACATAATCTTTGCCTGCTGATCATTAGATCAATATCTTCATTAATTTTTCTGTACTTGTCCTCAGACTCAGGGCTGTGACCTACTGAGTCGTCTGCATCGGGGTCTGGACTGTCACAGCCATTAAGTCCTTTCTTTCTCAATGTCTGAAATACATAATTTGGAAAGTTCAATCCTTGACACAGGCTGTAAGAAAGACTCAGCAGTGTTAACAGTAGCACAAACTGCCCAGAAGTGGATC